TGCTCCACCGTTTCTAGCCATAGTGGTCCTTGCAGCCCTGTGCCTTTGATGGTAGTAGTGACAGCTGGAAAAGTTTGGCCCTACCCACCCACAGCTGGTGCTTTTTCCAGAAAGGATCCAAGTTTTGTATTGCCTGACACTGCATCTGTCCAGAAGCATTATCTTGATGTGTTAGGGAAAAAAACCTGCTCACCCTACCCCTGCACTCAAACTGTAAGCCTAAAGCTCTAGTAGTCAAACATCTTTTGTAAATACTGATTTTTTGAGGAGCAAAAAATGGTGCAATATCTAGCTCTAGGTGGCATCTAGCTGGAGGAAAAAACAAACAACAAAACAAAACAAACCCCAAATCTGAGGTCTAGTTGATCTCAGTTTTGCTTAACTCAAGCCCAAATAGCAAGTTTCTGCAAAACCAGAATGAAGTTTTATTTGGAGACAGATTAGCTCTAAACTTTCTCTTTCCAAGCTCTTTCTGAAATGACAGATGTAAAGTAATGCCAAACAAGCAATAATATTGAGGCCACTTGTATCAAAATACTACTTGACCTGAGATTAACTTCTGATGTGGTCTAGTACAGGTATGGTACCAACTGATGAACTCTAACACATGTTGTCCCCCACATCTAAGTATCTCCTGCATATAAGTGTATGCAAATGTCTAGGCTTAAGGACAGAGGAGAAAAAAAAAAGTTTAGTTTTCATTCTTTTTGATCAGAGACTGCAAATTCCTTGGGTTAGGATTGACTTGTTATGCAATAGGTGGACAGTATCTAGATACATTGAAACCCAAATCTCTCAATCTCTCTATACTTTTCTGTAACACAAGTGATCATTAATACTATTTCAGTGTAAAAATGGCATCTTTCTGAATGATTTAGCTTTTCAGAAACAGACAAGAACACCACTAGTACATGTTGTTGCTATGTTTGAAAGCATGCAATTAGATGTGTATCTTACAAACATAAACAAACACCTCCCATCCAGCCTCCATGCTTCTAAAAAAACCCAGGTTTGTTTAGACAAGGGGTTGATAATCCAGTTTGAACACAGGTATGTGAATGCTGTGACAGCTTCTTCATAATGCTAAGCTTATGGTACATTAAACTTTAAAGCAAGATAAACTCCTGCTTTCATTTTATCAAACATCTTCCCAGACAGCAAAAAGAAAGACACAAAGCAATGTTTGCAGCTACAGCCAAGCATGGGATACCCAACTCAGCATATGTTTGAAATGAAAATGAACAATATGTTGCATAGATACACTACGGTATTTTTCAATAGACAATATCACTGGGATTTGTAAATGTTAACCTCATTCCCCCCCCTTAAGTGTTTGTTTTTATTTCATGCCTGAAAAAAACCTGAGATTCACAGAGATTAAGTGAATAGAGACAGCAGTCCTTGCAATTGAGAAAGAAAGTGCTCTTGAACTGCTCTGACAATCAGTTTGGCTAGTAGAAGTCACAGGGGGTGGGAAGGACATGGACAGGAGATTTTTTTTTTTTTTTTTTTAAGAGTGCTCAGTGTTGTGCCACTGGTATTACTGAACTTTATGTATTTAGCCATATTATACCTTTTTGTAGTCAGTAAAGCAGTAATTTCATTGTCTACCACAATAGCAATGAGGTACCAAGAGCCATCGAAGAATCCATGGTATGAGGTCTGCAAGGAGAGACTTGGACCTACTGACAGCAAGTAGTAAGGAAGGGGAGGGCAGTGGACAGCTAAGCACTTCAGGAATGGGAAACAGCAAGAGGGCTTGAACAGCCTGTTAAATTAACAGATTACCAAAAAAGTAACCTCAGGTTTGTTCTTCCCATTTCAAATCTGAAGACACAATGTACCCAAAAGCTTCTCTGTTCTTTCTACTCCCAACATTAAACTACCTACCTTAAAAAGCCTCTCTTTATAGCTGACTTAAGGTCATGTCAAAGACAAACACTGAGAGACTGAATTTTCCACTGATTTAAAACTGACACAATACACTACAAGCATCACCTTCATACTACACTGATGACAACACATGAGAAATCAGGGATGTGCCATTAGAGAATTTGTTATAAAGAGTTATTGGTGATCTTCATTGTACCATAAATCAGTCTTAAAAAAAATACCAAATCATCCAAGTTTCCTCCTAAGACCTGTATCTTCTCTAGAAGTTTATTTTTATGCAGCTACAGCCTCTCCTCCCTTTCCCAATCAACCCTTGCTTCTCTGTTTCATATGACCTCACCTTACCCAAAAATGTGAAGAGATTGGTGTTATCACAACTTAGCAAGATACCACCTGCCAGCTGAACTGTGATAAATCACAGCTGGCCTTACACTACATATGCTAACAGTGACTGAGGCTGAGTCCACAGGCAGCAGCTCAGGGCTGTCATTTAAACCACTGAGTACCCCCAACCACAAAAATCATGCTAAGGAAATAGCTCAATAACATGACAGTTGCCATCACCATGTTGTTATTCTAGCATGTATTAGATCTATTAACTCTCTTCTTTACCTGCAACTGCCTTCTGTTTAGCCTGTAAGCCTTTTATAGCCAACAAGGTGGACAAACTGCCTATTCTTTGTACTCACACAACAGTTGACACAATATGACCCCGATCAATCATAAGCTACACCGTAACAAAATTTACAACTGCAAATATTCATTCCTCCCTTCCCCCATGACTGCCCTTCTGAAAAGACACAATGCTGGCAGAAAAAAAAAACTAGAAAAAGAATTCAGAAGTTATTAAAAAATGAGATTAAGGCTTAGAACAAAAACGTCAAAGGAACTTGAAGAGTTATTACTTTATTATTACTCCTGCCATACATAACACTTGTATTTTCTGAGTCCTAGAAGAGCCAAACAATTGGGTATGCAACATGATTGTAATAAAAACATTCTCTAGAATTAGGGACCTGCATTTCTATTAGCAACCTTTTACATACTCTATAAATAATTCCTTGAACCCAAGGTTTCAGCCATGAATAAAGGAAGCTGTGAGCACGCACTGGGTTTTACTTATTTGTTTAAACAGACATGCAGTATAAAAAAACTTTATAAAAAGTAGACTCTCAAATGAATAGGTTGAGAGGTTTGAACAACAACCACTGCACTTGCAGATGTGATTCAAGCCATTAGCCTTACAAGTTCAGTCACTGCATTTTACTGAAATAAATGGATCTGAATAGCTTCGCCACCAGGCAAACCTACCAATAGCCCACAGATGTTGCCCAGCACATTTCATTGCAAGTTTAAGAAACACCAGCTTCCCATCAGAAGAGTGACCTATAGGCACCTGTGTTTAATAAGCTGCTTAAAATCAACCTGTATCTGTAGATCAACAAGATTGGTTAATAATAACCATTGGCACGTAAGAGTATAAAACAATTTCCCATATAAAATTCCAGCTTCCTTTACTTGATGCCTTCACAGAACTCACCTTCAGCCAGGAAAGGAGAAACACTGAAAGGGGTATCTCTACTGTAAGGCCATTTCACACCTACTCCTAAATTGGAGTTTTTGAAACTTATATGGTAGGCACTCAATTCAGCAGCTGCCTGTCCACAGCCAGGAGCCTGGTTTAACTTTGACTTCAGTCTGAAATTAGAGCTAGGTTTGTTTATGGCAAGACCAAATTCTGCACTAAACAGCCACGTCTTCACTTCAAGGGGAGGAACAGCCTTCCTTAAATTGAACCAGAAAATGAGGCTCTGGAGAAGCATGCACCAGAACGTACCCTAAGTTTGCACGGAGTAGTTCTGTGTCTTCAGAGACCTTAGCACATCTTGATGTGTACTATGTGGAAGCATCAGGCTTTCAGCTGACTCACAGGCAGTCAGATCTTACCAGCCGATCTGCTGCATTTCTGAACTGTGGATGTGCCTCTGCCATCCCTCTCATCCCCTTAAGCTCACAGAAATGCACAGGTCAGCAGCAAAACAGCATGGTTTTTTGGAAAGATCTGGTGCTGCCATTCTTTTTCCCAGAAAACTTCAAAGGAAGTAGGACTTGGACATCTGTGATGATTTGGGCAGATCTTATTAAGAAAGCTGGCTCACCCACCTACTTGATATGGCAACACACATCAAATATGGGCTTGACTTGACTCTTTTTCTAGTCTCTCAAGACCCTCCTTTGACACAGAATGAAGTTGAACAAAGCCCAACAGGGTCAAAGAATGAAGAAATACGTGCAAAAGAGATCTATCATTTACACTGCTACAGCAATTGTGCTAATCTCATGGTGCCATCACTACTCTCTTACAGATTATCTTTGGTTTTTTGTCAGAGGTACTTTTTCTACCACCATCCGTGAAAGTTTTTCTTGAACACATATACAAATGAGAAAAAACATTGGTTGACTGGAAGGTAGGATTGGAAGAGCTATTCAAGTAAAAACAGTCAGAACAGCACTCCCAGTTCAGCTAATTTAATTTCTGAAATAAATTATCTGGACAGGGAGGGGTTTTTTTTTCGTTTCAGCACAGCTCACTGCAATGCCTACTGTGCTAACCATTAGGGCTGCTGTTATTCTGATTTGTATCCACTACTCAGTGTGGAAGGAACAAGAGAGGAAATTCAAGCAGCAGTTAAAATGTCTGCACACTTAAGCCAAGAAACCTGGCAAGGGACAAGTGTGCAGCACAGTACAGAGAAGAGGTGCAACAAGTACTCTGTTTCTTTGTGATCAGTGCCAATGTTCCTGCCACCTACAGAAATTAATAAGAAACCAACAATATTAAGCTCTTAATTTTGAAGACAATTTTTGTTAGCAGTTTGTTGGTAAAGCACTTACAAGAAAATATTGCAGGGACAGAATTCTCTAAAAAGCACTATAAGTTTTGTGAGTATTTATTTCAACCTCTGCATCCAAACCAACTCCCCCTCCGTGTCCCTTCTAGCCAATTATGTTCCAATTTCCCCTTACAAATAAGAGTCTATAGATTTTAGGGGAGCTTCAGCAGGCTTTGTGTCTGATATGCAGCACATATCACCTTTATCACTTACCAATACAGCAGGACCACGAAGACCACCAGCAAAGCCAGGGTGACCGTTGTATTACTCATTTCTATAGAGGCAAATGCCAGGAGATCTACTGCCTCCATTTTCCTCCACTACAGCTCCAGGCTTGAGTGGTGTGCGCATGGGAAAGTCTCTGCAAGAGCTGATAAAGCCTTCCACAGCTACACAAATGACATCTGCAACAAAACAGGAACCAAGAGAGCAAAAACACATCAAGTCAAATACAAACTGCAAACCTTTCCTGTTCTCATCAACTGCACGCTCTAAGAGAGAACTTGAAGGTTCCCTGAATGGTAGGATGTAGCAATTTCCCCCCTCCTGCTGTTGTTGACTGTCGTGCCAGTAAATATTTACATACCCACCGCTTGAGACATCAGTGCTGATGTCTAAAAATCTATTCAACATGTATTAGGGAAACTGGAAAAGTGGGGGGGGAGAGCCTGACCATGGTACAGATCATGGAAGAATAATATAAAGACCCTTCAGGGGTGCCCTGGCATACAACAGTGGTATTCTCTGAAGTAATAAACATAGAGCATTACTGCAACATAAAACTTCATTAACACTTAATCTCCAGACTGGTTATACCTTAAAAGAATGGAACAAAGTAAACTTTAAATTATCACAACTAAAAGGAGAATTGGGGGAAAACTCTTCTAATGTGACTACTAGAACACATATAAGAATGAAAAACTAATGAGTAGAAAAACCCAGCTGTAGTACCAGGGTCCATAAGTCAGCATCTGTCACACTGGTTAGTCCACACAGACAGCACTGTTTGGCTGTATCATCTCAGGTTCATGAGTACTACAGCACATTTTCCTGGCTCAATGCAGTGCCTCCGTTGGAGGTACCATTAACCAGCCTTTCCAGAGATACTTTGGCTACCCCTGCATTGTATTTCTTGTATCAGGGTTAACATCAATATGGCCATATCTACTATCTCTGCGTTGTGGCACAGTCAAGCTCTCACAACCCCTTGAACAACATGCACATGAACAGTCAAGCTTTGATGGCAGTTTAGGAAATGGTTTGTCCATAGTATATGAATTCCTCAGCTTTCTTCCATATTTTCCTGTCAGCAGACCTCAATCCTGTTTCAAGCATCTGATCCAGTCCAATTAGAAAGGTCAACCAGAAAGCAAACCTTGAAGCACTTCTATGAGAGAAGACCACCAACGTGTTACACACAAACTAAGTTACCAAATGCCACTATCAAAAAAATCTTCAGGATTACAACAACATCAGCAGCAGCAGCTTGCAAGTAAACACCCTTGCCCATGACAAAATTCCCTGAACTGTCCGGTATTTTTTGTTACTTATGGAACTAGAAATACCCATACATGTACTGCAGCCCTCCCACCCATTCCAACCAACCTATTTGAAAGTTAAGGAAATCAAAGATACCCAAAAAAACTAGATTTGTGAATTATATGGTAACCTTGAGAAACAGAAATTCTGCAGCATCTGATTCCCATAACACACCAGATGAAGAGTGGTTTCTTCTCATACAACCCCAAGATAACAGCCTAGATTTAATGTGCAAGGCTTCTCCAATATCACTGTATTACATTTCCTGCTCTTATCAGAGAAGTTAATAATATAGGTATCAAAAAAGTAAAGTCTCTAACACAATGGAGTTTAATTTTAAGAAGATTTGGCTCTACTCTAACTGAATCACTGCTATTTTGGTTCTCCGTGCTTCACAACTGCATTAATTCCCTTCCAGCCTCAGATCCTTGCAGAATAAGTAAAAGGTGTTAACCAGCTCATCAGCTCCACAGAATGGCACAGTAGTTCACAGAAAACCTTGCTTATTGTATTAACAATGCTATTGCTATTCTGGGTCAATAACAGCTCTGCCAGTTTGCTGCTGCTGCCAAGTTCTCCAAGAACAACTGCAACAAGATTCAAGGAAAGTGACGCAAGGAATTAATCAATGGGCACAAGCCAATCCCAACCAGAAACTGATCCCATGGGACTTGAAGAAAAAAAAAAATCCATATGCCTTAAAGTCTCTTCAAAAAAACTAAACCAATCACCACGAGAAGGTAAGAAATAATATTCTGATTTCACTGTGCTTTAATTTACTTGGCCGTCGTGGTTTAAGCCCAGCCGGAAACAAAGCACCACCAGGCTGTTCGTTCACTTCTCCCCCCCCACAGTGGCACCGGGAGGAGAAAAATATAAAGAAACACTCATGGGTCAAGACAAGGACAGGGAGGGATCACTCACCACTTACGGTCATGGGCAAAAAACAGACTCAACTTGGGGAAAAAAAAAAATCAATTTAATTTACTACAAATCAAATCAAAACAAGGATAGTGAGAAATAAAACCAAATCTTAAAACACCTCCCCCCCACCCCTCCCTCCTTCCCGGCACAACTCCACTCCCGGTTCTCTCTCCCTCCTCCCCTCAGCAGCGCAGGGGGACGGGGAATGGCGGTTGGGGTCAGTTCCTCACACATTGTCTCTGCCGCTCCTTCCTCCTCAGGGGAAGGACTCCTCACTCGTCCCCTGCTCCACCGTGGGGTCCTTCCCACGGGCTGCAGTTCTTCACGAACTGCTCCAGCGTGGGTCCTTTCCACAGGCCGCAGTCCTCCAGTCCCAGGCTGCTCCAGCGCGGGCTTCCCTGTGGAGCGGCGGCCATCTTGGGGGGCCTCCACCCCCTGCTCCAGCATGGGCTCCTCTCTCCCGGGCTGCAGGTGGGCATCTGCTCCCCCGCTCCCCTCCGTGGGCTGGGGGGGGACAGCCTGCTGCCTCACCACGGGCTGCGGGGGCATCAAAACCTCCTCCGGCACACCTCCTCCCCCCCTTCCTCACTGACCTCGGGATCTACAGAGGGGTTCCTCTCACATTCCACTTCCCAAACTCCGCTGCAGGTTCCCCTTCTGAAATCTGTTCTCCCAGAGGCGCTACCACTGTCGCTGATGGGCTCGGCCTGGGCCAGTGGCATGTCTGGCTTGGAGCCATGGAAGCTTCTAGCAGCTCCTCACAGGAGACACCCCTGCAGCCCCCTCCCCTGCTACCAAAACCCTGCCACACAAACCCAAAACACTGGCTGTTTAATTAAAGGACATTTTTCTGCATGTAGAAGACTGATGCCCTCCTATTAAAGTCAACGGCAAAACTCTATCAGCAAACACAGAGTCAAGTACAGACCTCACTTATTTTTTAAGAAGCACTAGAGCCTTTTCCCAGTCACACTGGGAGGTAGGTGGGATGAATAGTTCTTAAACACACGCATTATGAAAGAAAATAGGCTCTCACATCAGCATCCAATTTGGAACAGAACACATAATCCAGCTCCCAACAACAACAACCATCCTTTTCTGTTGTTGATGTTGGGGTTTTCTTTTTGTTTTGTTTTTTTAAGCCTCAGCACCTGTTTCTTGCTGAAGGGTTTTACCTCAGCACCTCCAACCATTAAGGAGAGTGGCACACGGCATTGACTCTAAAACCAACCTGGAGCACTCCTCACTGCAGCCCCACATGCTTGCAGTTGTCATCCCAGAGTTAAGGATCTCAGCCCCATGAAGAGTCACAAAAATCCACATGTTGCTTTGCAGGCTGGGGGGCGAAGGCATCAGGGATGCAGACAACAATGAAAACAGGCTATTTATCAATCCTGTGGCTCTCTTTACGGGTCCTTTACATTAGAAGCACCATCCTAACTAACTAGTTAATAGCACAGATATTTTTAACCAACCTCCCAGTTCTTTTTGTGGAGCCACACTGGTCAGGCTGATTTTGATAATATCAATGAACTACAGAGGCTGATACGAAGTCCTCACTAACCGCATGCTGGAGGAAGCCAGAGACAAGCAGAAGTGGAAGAGAGCCTTTTCCTGTCAGACTGCTATGAGTCAGCAGCACTGCCTGCATTTGCCTCTACGAGGCTTCACTCTAGATTGCATCTACCAAGGTTCACAGCTCCTTGACGGAGTGCCATTCGAGCTCTTCTCTTCTGTAGCAAGTAAAATCCACAGATCACCACCTTGTTCAACACAAACTTCAACAACAACAAAATGTTCAACACAAACTTACGTTCAAGAGTCCCATCTCATCCTTCATTCCCCAGCACTGCCGTCACTGTAGCCTTGGAGCTCCCCAGCAAATGGCAGACCTACGAGACAGAAGTAGTTCAATCCCAAACAGCCAGAGCTTCAGCCTGCATGGGTGTTCACAGCAGTAAATATTAAAAAGGGAAGCGCGTTACAACAAAGTCTGAGAAGTTGAATTGTTCCTCAACTGAAAAAGAAAAAAAAAAAACCACACCCAGACAATCCAGGTTTTCCAGGAAGCCTTCATGCCTTAAAGCCCTGTCTGCTATGACTCCAAGAACATTTTCTGTAAATGCTCTTCCAAAACAATGCATTTCAACTTCAAAATTAATACAAGTGTGGCAATGAGCCTCAGCAATGCTTGACATACGCAAGTATCGTTCTGACATGAAACAGAGAGCTTATTAAAAAGCAGGATTATAGACCTTCTCAGTAGACCTAGATCATGGTAAGGATTTTGACCTGTCTTCAAAGCATATCAAATGGAAAATGTAGTCTCACATATTTCAGAGGCTGATGACTGCACCAGCTAGACTAACCACACAGTCCTGCTAATGACCAAATTCAACTCCTCTCATGCTATTCTACTTCATATGTTCTAGGTCTATAATAATCTAATTAAGGCTGAGCCACAACAACTTTACAATAGATGAAGGAAGTCTAGAAAGGTGTTAAGTTGTAATTTTATAGCAGTTCATCTCCTTAGAAATTTGTAGCATAGTCTTCAGATCAACAAAATTCTGTTATATAGACAGCTTAGCCACAAAATACTGCAAATGAAATACCATGGAACAGCTTAAAAACCCATGAGATTAATCAGAGACTAGTTTATGTATAAGCTTTAACAAAGCCCATGTACAAAACCACGTAAGTATATATGATATTAATTTATCTTGAAGACAAAAACCTTTCCAAAGACAAAATGAATTCTCAACATCTTTAAGGTAGATCAAAGGCACATTTCACAGAGATTTTTTTTATATATATATTTAAAACAACCTTAATAGCCAAAGTACTGGGAATATTAACGTATTGGAAC